CCAGAAGGATACCATATTTGATGGTACTGGAAGCCACTGAGAGATTCAGGAGAAAGCCATGACAGTTGTACCACGCTCATCCCAAGTCCTCCAAAGATCATCAGCAAGGGCCATCTCTGTGCTGTACCCTGGCCTGAACTCAAACTGAAAAGAGTCTAGATAATCTGCTTTATACCTTTCACACTTTATCCTCTCTCAACATCCTTCCCACCTTTATCACTACAAGGTAAGTCCCATAAGTTCTTACTTATGCTCAGTCGACTTTATTCTTGGTTTTTTTTTCCAGCGGCACTGTAGCTGTCTCTTGTGTTGTTTCATCTCTTGAAATTCCTTTGAGAGGCACAATTTGGTCCAGTGCCCTGTTACCTGCTCATTCCAAACAGGAGGCCATGTTCTGTAAAGTGAACACTAAGCTAGCTAAAAAGGCTCCTTCTGGTGGTTTTAAACTACAGTGCTCACCATCCCATAGTAAGACCTACAACTGGAGAAAGCAAATGAGAGCTTAAATCCAAAAGGCCCAAATAAAAGAAGACCTTTATATAATACAGATCTTATTAGACAGAGACTGGCAATGGCGGGAGGAGGTTGAAGGACCACAATAACATTCATGGGCAGAGAGACAAAATGTATGTGGCTGTGACAATGATGTAAAATGGACAAGGTATATTGCATATGGACAGGGCTGGAATTTTTTGCCCAAAGGCTTTTTTTTTGCATTCTCCCCCCCCCCCTTTTTTTTTTCTTTTTAAAAGTGTTATCTATGTCTACCCTGCCTGAAATAACCATCCATGTTCCTACCTGAAAATGTCAAGAAAGTGCAATTTGATATTTATTTGGAAGGCTATAAAACTGCAGGTGAGCTGGGCTTCAAGGTTGTTGCTCAATATATGAGGGCATTTGCAAATGAGAAAGGGTATTCCACTTCTCTGATTTAGCAACTGTTTCCAGCTATTCCAGAACTTGATGAATACCTAAAGGGGAATCCTTCCTGATGCCAAATAAGGTGAAGCCAAATGAGTTGCTGAAAGGGATTGGAATGAATCTCACTTTGAGCAATCCTGATTCCAAAAAGCTACCTTGGGAAATATCCTTACTGGTGGAATTACGCAATATTACTTATCAGGACTTCTAGGGAAGAAATGGAGAACTGAAAATGGCTCCACAGCAGAATGAAGAGCCAATGACTTTGTAATTCCTCACTGGGCAAGGAGAGGTTTTGAGATCACCCACAAGTGCTCCTCTGCAGATTTCTTGTGAGGAGATTGAAGAACATCTATCTCCAGTGGGTTTACAACTTTGGGAGATGAAGAAAAAACATCTTCACTCCACCCTTGGTGGGCACTTTTCAAATACACTGAGTTTGCATACTTGCTTCTCTAATCACTATTGGAAAGTTCTTGTTAAATGCTTTTGAGCTATTAGAAATCTTTGGATTGGCAAGTTTTACAGTTACTAAGTGATTGTCCTTCAATTCTTAACTAAAAAAAGTTTAAATGGTGGTTTAAGGATTAAATATATATATATATTTCAGAATAAAAGAGCAAAGGGTTGATTAGAATTTTGATTTTGGAGAGTACAAATGGACTAAGGGTACAGTAAGGAAGGAGCCCATTGCAAGGAGGGAGAGGGGGAGCAAGGCAATACAGCCCAAAGATGGATCACAGAAAGAGAAAGAGATTTAGGATGACCATTGCCTAGAATCTCACAGGGCATATCCATTAGGTTAGTATAGGTTTAGTCTGGCAAGATTCTGTCTATATGGTGTGAGCAAATAAAGAACTTAACTTTGGCTGGATTGATCTCCATTCTCAGGCTAGGCTTGACACAATGTATTAATAATTAAAAGAGATATACAAATAACAAACCAAAAGAATGACATGGATAACTTTCCCATATTGGATTTACAAAAGAGACTTCTTAAAGTTTTGAAAAAAAAAATTGTGAGAAGGGATAAAGCAAACATTAAAAGAAATCAAGTTCTAAGACATTATTTGAAGGAATTCAAGATCAAGATTGTTAAAGGTAAAAGAAGGAATATAAAGTTGGTTTGTTTGAAATAGGTTAAAATAGATATGTTATCATCTCTGTTAGCTCTTTATGAACTTTTGCTGATCGAGACTGAGCAAGAAGGCTTCAAGGATCTGTTAATAGATAAGAGATGTGATGTAGGAAGAAGAAATTGTTTGTTGTATTTTAAGAGGCAATAAATTACTAAAATTGTTCATACTTGTGATGAAGCGGGAAGTCAATTCCTTATATGTTTGTTTTCTTTTTCTTTATTATATTCTTCTTTTCTATTTTTATCCCTTTATTTTTTAGTTTGTATTTTTACCATTTTAACAAAAAAAAATTCTACAAAAACAACATCTATCAGAGGTGGACAACTGGCATAGTCTTCATTCTTTGCACTTCACACATTCTGTGGCTCAGTTTTGCTTGCTGCTGCTTCTGATAATGCAAATGCCTTGCCCGTTTATTTTTGCTCAGTGATGCCAAATATGTGGTGGGAGAACTGCCAAGAAGATAAATAATGCACAGCATTGGATTCATTGAAAGCAGGTTTCATCTTACATTGGAATGAGGGTTATATCATGCAATCCAGAGGAAGTTTATTGCGAGGCTTGCATTCTCTCTCTGTCCTGATCCCTAATCCTCTGAATTCTGCTGATGCAGCAGAAAGCACAATTGGATGTTGTGGCTGTATTTTGTCAAAATCTGCAGCCTCAGGGTGTAACAATACTTGATCTGCCACGTGTACCCCCCCCCCCGGATGTGAGCTATCAGGAAACCAGCAGTGTTTCTTCTCCAATCTAGCCATGGTCTAATGGGTTGAATTTAAATCCCATCAATGGGTGAATTATGCCAGCTGCCGTAAACATAACAGAATAGAGAGATATCTGTAGGCTTCAGGCTCAAGATTGTTCATTTTAAGAGTTGTTCAGTCCCCATATGTCTGTTGTGATATTCCAGAATCATGATTCTTTCACTTTCAGAGCTGTGGCACAGTGATTAGAATGCAGTATTGCAGGCTAACTCTGCCCACAACCTGGAGCTCAATCCTGATAGGGGCTCAAGGTTGACTCAGCCTTCCATCCTTCCCAGGTTAGTAAAATGAGGACCCAGATTGTTTGGGGGCAATAGGCTGACTCTATAAAAGGTGTACAGGTGACAGTGGCTTCCAGGTCTGGGTAATTTCCTGAACTAATGCTGATCCCTTTGTGGGAAGTCATCCTCCCCACCAAAGAAGGAAATATTAAAAGGGCAGAATATTATATTTCCTCAAAGGATCTTAAAGAGGCAAAAAAGCACGGCCATTTTTTTAAATAGCCCCAAGTCTCCCTCCCCCAAGCAGAAACCAGCTCTGTAGAAATGCAGATTAGTAATCCATTCAGGAAGGTTGGAGGCCCCCAGCTATTAGCTTAGGAAGAGAAAGACACCTAAAATCTATATACCACACCCAAACTCTAGGACAGGACATAATAGCATTAACCCACAGATGCCAAAGGGGCAACTCAGACTCAGGTCAAAGTACAGGACACAGAAAATACAAAGCTTCAAATAGGAACAGTAAACAACCTAAAGAGCCCCAGAGGGTATAAAAACCTGCTCCCTACACGTGCTCTCTCTCTTTTCTTCCAGAGCCATCTTTCTGTCTGGCTCTCCTCTTCAAAAAACTGCAACCTTCTTTCTAAAGCAGTCACCATGTTGTTTATTCCCGGCTTGGACTGAACCATAATGAAGACCTTTCCTTCAACACCTTCTTTATGTCAGACAGTATTTTCCCCCCCTAGGAAAAATTCTGAAAAAAAAAGACCACCATTTCAAGTGAAGTTTGCCACAGCGACATCCTTCTTATTTTCTTGTAGTTTTGTTCTTTTGTGTTAATGAATTGTGGTGTAATAATTTTCTGTCACTTCTTGTAGATCGGTGGTTCTCATCCTTCAGTGTAGAGACTATATTTATTATTGAATTCACATGTTCAGGCAGAAGGCAATCTCTTTCAGACTATATACAATTTTGTTCACAGATGAGAGTGAACAGAGAACTGTAGTAGCTCTGTTTAGGGACCTGCATATGAATATGAGAGGCTTAAAATCTTATAAACCCTCAACTACAATTTTGAGCCAATAGGAACATTTGGAATTATGAGAACATGAGAACATGTCCTGTGGATGCTGCATCAAAATGGTTGCCACACCAAACATAGCAAGTCACAAGTGATAATGCTCCCCAGTTATCCCATTGATCTCACCCAATTATCTCACCCCATTGATCTCACCCAAATATGCCTGTCTCCATATATGTGTATTTTCTGAGTGGTGGGGGCAGACTGCCAGGTAATAATGGGTGCCCAAAACAAAATTCATAGAGCAAGTGAAAAAACAAAGCAATAGAAATGAAATTGTTATAGGTACTTTGTAGGGTTGTATGGGGAATCGGGAATAGCATCCTGAGAAAAACCTTGGATATCTGAGCCATACCGAAAGCACTTAGTCACATTGGCATGTCTGGGTATTTGGTAACACCAGCTGGTTTAGCCAGTCCCACAGTTTAATCCTGTGCCTTTCTTTTGCCCAAAGTACTGAGCTCCAACCACCCATCGTTTCTATCTTTTAAGATTGACCATGAGGAACTAGAGACATTTTTGTTCAATAAGTATATTGGAAGCTAAAGTTTCCTTTCACACACTGGCTTCCCACAGAGAAGCATGTGGATTTGGTGCCATGTTGGTGATCAAGACCATAAACTGCTGTTAAATATTAATTGCTACCATTGTGTGTTTTTAATTAAACAGAGCCAGGTAATATCTCCCCTTATCTATCACATTATGATACAACATTACCATTATATTAAAACACAGGATGTTAAATAATCCAGCATACCAATGATAACTATCAAACACAATTGGAAACTTCATCTAAGAAGCAGAGATTTTTTTTAAAAAAAATAAAAATCTGCCCCTGATTTCAGCAGTAGCCAAAGGACATGATCTACCAAAATAAGCTGTGCTAGAGAATGGGCTCTATTGATTAAAGAAAAGAAAAGAACAATACATTTATAACCTCCCAGCCCCCATCCCAGACATTCAGAGACTACAAACTGCAAAACTCAGTCAACTGACATGAACTCTTGAGTGAGGGATGGTTTTCAGTTACGAATAAAGTGGTTATTCTAGCTTCCTTCTACTTTGCTGAATGTAGGAGATTTGTAGGAGGTTTGCGGTTAAAGCATAATGGAAGGGATCTTGGAGATAACTTGCTGAACTGAGATGGAAATGAGAGGGATTCAAGAGCTTCCCATAGACTCCAGGAAAAAGGAAAATCCAGGTAAAGTAGGAGGAAATAAAACATAGCCAATATATTTTATTTCCATAGAAAGTGCTAAAAAAATTGACCCAGAAATCTGAGTTAGAATTTTGTTTTAATTAGTTTGATATTGATTTGCTTGGTTAAATTTGTATGTGCTTAAGTCCAAATTGGTAATTTTATCTCAGTGTGCAAACTCAATAATTCTAACTCAACTTTGTGCATTTGGATACTGTTGTTCAAACCTCTTGCAATGTAATAACTTCAATCTGAATGTTGGTTTGGGTTTTTTTTTTTAGAAAAAAAAGGGCTTCACTAGTGGAAAAAGTGTTCCAATTGAAAAGAAAGTAGTGCAGTTTTTAAGTTTTCTTCCCAATATTTCTTCCCAACATTGAATCTTTGTTCTCTTAAAGAAGAGCTACAGTATGTACCAAGTGTCTTCTTTTTAAACAAGTAAAGTTTAATTTGGTTTATCTCTTGTGAGATTGATCCATTTCTTAAGGAGGAGTTAAAATATTGCCCGATAGAACTTTTATTTTTTCTTTCATTTTTTTTTTACTCTTTTATCTGTCAGAAGGACAATACCGTTTGTAGGAGTCCTCTCTCACACAAACCATGCTTAGAAGCTGGGCACTGAATGAGGAAAAAGAGACATGATAGCAGAAGTTATCATCAGACTACTATCCTAATGCAAAACCTAGAGATTTTCTGAGAGAGGAATTTGAAATCTTCAGCCTTTCATCTTATGGACTTAAGCCTGCTATTATGGTAGCATATATAAAAATGGCTATTAATGAGTTTTTGGTATATGTGTGTAGTAGTATACCGTACAGTACAGAAAATTGCAGGTACAATTCTGTATAAATAAAGTCTCCAAATATACTAGATTGAAAAATATGAATAATGTCTGAAAAAACTAGAACCTTACCAAAAGTCAGATTTACTGTAGACTTATCTTCATATACCTCCTAGGACAGGGGTAGGCAACCTTGGCTCTTTTATGACTCGTGGACTTCATGGCTGGCTCAGGAATTCTGGGAGTTGAAGTTCACGAGTCATAAAAGAGCCAAGGTTGCCTATCCCTGTCCTAGGATGTTGGTAGTTGTCAGAGATTTTTCTGAGTCAGAGGAATTGGTGAAAAGCAAGTTGGCCATCATGTGCAGACCCACAGAAATGTCAGCTGTGGAGACTTCCAGTTCTGCCCTGTAGCGACATGGCTAATGGATTGCAGAGCTCCACACCCCAAGGCTGGTTTTGCCCTGCCAGGGGACCCTAAATGGGTCGAAAGTCACCCTGGAGAGGTGATGAAGGAGGAGGGGCACTCCGATGATAGCGGAATGACAGCAGTCAATCTGTTTGATCTGGGGGAAGCCCTCCAACACAACAGGAAAAAGGCTAGATGCACATCAGTGTTTAGCCCAAGCTACCAGCAGCCAAAGTCCAAAAGCACGAACCAGAACAACGGTGAACAGCATGTTTGGAACTGCGTGAGAATATTGATCTTCTCTCTTCTATTTTGTAATTGATTCCCTGGAAAAGATCCCCAAAGCAAGAAATCCTCCAAAAATGAGAAGGGAGATGAAATGTATGCAATGCTGTGACAGATTCATTCAAATGACAATGATTTCAAATCATGATGAGATTAAAAACAACTTTGATGGCAAAAAATGAGCATGTTTCCAACTTAAATTTACAAGTAAAAAATTCTCAGAAACTGATGATAAAGAACGAACAAACAAACCAGATAATAGAATACAAATCAGAGGATAGTGATCTAAAGAGGGAAGCTATTGATGAAGAGAACTACAAATTAATGCAAACAAAAGAAAACTTGCAAGGTTTTGCCACAACAATGGAAATGGAAAAGATATCCTATTTTTCAGGGCCTCAAAATCAACTTGAAGATTGGAAAGCAGTCCTAACAAAATGGACTATAGAGCAACCAGGACAATCATTAAAGTTTGGGAGACAAAAAATACATGTCTTATCTAACTTGTTTTTTCTATTCCCAACAACATTTGCAAAAATACAGGAAAAACCCCTGGGTAAGTCAAACACACTAACTTGGAAAGCTACCTGGCAAAAGAAGAAGGCTAGAATCAGGTCTGAAAGATTTGATGCGACTTACCAGATGGAGTACTATATGATCAAACATCCATTTGAATACCGTTAAAAGAATAGATAAATTATGGATATAAAGGGGTCTCAGTAAGAGAGACAAGATATATAAGTAGTATTGTAACTTCTATAATATATGAAATGTAAAAATATTGGGATGGTGCACATGAATGAAAAGGTTGGATATTTAAAGGTTATTAACTTTGAGAAAATTATGACTGATAAGAATGGTTTGAATACAGAGGGGAAATTAAGCTTAAATAAGAATCTTGAAAACAGGACATATAACAAGATGACTTTTACAAATACAATTGAAATATAAACTGATATATAACAAGATGACTTTTACAAATACAATTGAAATATAAACTGATAAGAAAAGATGCTATATGCTGATGTTACTGTTATTTGTATAAACACAAGAAAAAGGTTTATATTTAACTTTATATGCATTGAATTTTAAGAATGATATTTGCTTAATGTTGACAAAATGAGAATACTATTGGATGAAAAGAAGATCAAAGAAATATATCATTAATTAATATATTGATTATGGAACTATAGAAATTAATTATTATTGATTGTTTTTTAAACATATGAACCCAGACAACATGCTGTTTACTAAGCACTAAAGAATGTTATTGTAAAAAATTAATAAAATATATTTTAAAAAAAGTCAGCTATGTTGTGGCAACTGAACACTTCTTCCTGGAGCTGGTGCATGCATATCCAGTACATGATATGTGGGAGTTGAAGTCACTTTTTTTAAAAAAAAAAAGTACCTTAAGATGTACTTTCAATTTCATGTTTGCAATTTTTCAGATTTTGAATGATGACGCTGCTAACTTTGGCCACTTTGAAAGATATGTCAATAATTAATTTTACAATAATGCCGCAACCCCTCTTTGTGTGTGCTAGATGTTAAGATGAGGAAGCAACTCCATATAGGAATGGTTTTTATAGTTTTGCTATTAAACTCTGAAAAGGTTGTCTTCAGTTCTACAGTATATGAGTGGGAACAACAATGTGGAAAAACATAAAATCACATGAGCTTTAGATTAGTGCACTTTCATTAATTTGCACTTTTAATTAGTGCAAGTTCACATTTGCACTAATTAAAGAAATGACTGCCTTGAGCTGATTTGACTCCTGTTGACTGCAGACATGTCATTTGAGTGTAAACGTGTAAGCAATTGTGATAATCTTCCAGGATGTTCTGTTTTTGGACTTCCCAAGGTAGTTTATAGTTCTGGTGTAGATTTTTTGGGGGTAGGGTTGGTGGTCTCCCATCCAAGTCCTGGTGAGATCCAACCCTGTGTAACTTTCAAGATCAGCTAGGGTCAGCTATTTAACTGCCGCTATTGTGCAGGCAAAGTTACTATCATTTAAATAGAAATGCAATATTTTTAATATAATATAATACAAAAAAGTAATGTGGTAAATGGTGGGCCTGCTCTTCTGTTCAGATAGGTGCTCAGCATTGATGGACAGCTTCCTGGCCATTGCTCGATCTTTGTTCTTAAAAATGGTTTTAAACATGATTTGGACTAGGCAGCTTCAAATAAAGGATTGGCAATCCTTCAAAAGATGATGAACTTCACAAAACCTGGATACCTGGGCCTAGGCCATATGCAGCTCTGGCCACATTTAATCCAACAAAATAGCAGCATCACACAGATTTTTTCCTATATTTAGTTGCTCATACCAGGCCTCCCAGCACTGCTCCTGCCCTAGCAAGTAGATCAGTCTTGGAAATTTGAATTTCAGTTAAATGTGTGAGAAACAAAAAAAGTCAATTGTTACATTTTATCTTTGTTATCTCCCCCCCCCCCCCCCGCAGTTAGCTGTTAGGCATCAAATCAGATTCCAACTTATACAGACAGCCTTTAATTGCTGGTTAAATATTGAGAAGATTAATATAGCCAAGTATCCATCCATTATATCCTAGAGGATAGATATTTGAGGAGTTGTCAAAACCCAATAAATATTCATATTTGACTGGCAGACAAGAGAAGATATTATAGATGGATTGTACTCTCCTTTTCCCTCGCTCTTCTTGTTTGTCCCAAATGTAAGTAAAAAAATTCTTTGTTCTTTTTTGTTCTATTAGCTTTCCAGTTTTGACCTCAGCTTCACATTACAGCCCCGTGTAATTTAACACTCATTACTTTACAACATACAGAATTAACTTGTGTTATTGTCTTTCTGCCAATCTGACTGCATCTTGACTGACAAATTTCTCTGGCCTTATACTGAATTTCCAATTTATTAAATCCTCCCTCCCTCCCTCCCTCCCTCCCTCCCTCCCTCCCTCCCTCCCTCTCTCTCTCTCTCTCTCTCTCTCTCTCTCTCTCTCTCTCTCTCTCTCTCTCTCTCTCTCTCTCTCTCTCGCACACACACAAAACATGCCATATACAGACCTAAGCAGAACTGGTTTGTTGCTCTCTCCTTCTGAAATGTTTCAGTCTAGCCTACAATCTTAGTATTTTGATGAGGTCTCTTGTCCAAACAACATGCTTGACCCTGCTTAGCTTCCATATGAGAAAAGTGTCTCCTGTTATGATGTGTACTTTGGTCTTTCACCTTAAACCAATACAACAGTATTAAAAAGAAAAGAAAAAAAATGTGAAGATAAAAATCCAGGAGTTGCTTCCAATCTAACAAAACAGCTTTGACAATGGAAACTACTACACTATACGACTGTAGTGAAGGCAGAAGGGGATTCTTATTTCAAATTAATAGCAAGTAATTTTAATTAGGGTCTCTGCAGGATAGCAAGGCAGTAGAATTCTAACTAACTAAAAATAATAATAAAGCAAGCAAACAAAGAGATCTGATTGAATCCTCCAACAAGATTCTGCTCTCTCTCTCTCTCTCTCTCTCTCTCTCTCTCTCTCTCTCTC